ATCTAACTGTTGACTTTAAGCCGAAATAAGTTTAAACGAAATTTTACATCCAGGTTTAAATGTATTCGATACGCTCTTGTGCAAGGTACTCGGTGTTTCAAAACTTTTCGGTTTCGAACAAATGCTCTTTCAGTAGCGTCAGGTTCTTCGACGGTGAACAAATCTGTACCGCAGTATGAGAAGGAAGCAGTTGCTGAACTCTTTGTTGAAACTGCTACGGTGTTGAGAAAAGGATCCATGACGAATGAGGCAACCGTTTGAAATCGTTTCGTAGATAATTGAATTTTTTTAAACAAACTGATGATCAGGAAGTCTTGCAGACAGAACGCCCTCCGACGCAATGGTTATGGGCACAGCGACGATCTGTCCAGGCATTTTTTTGCATCTCTGAGCCGAAGTTTTGCAGCAACAACAACAACAGCGACTACAAGTCGATCATTTTCTAACATTTGTACCTTGTGGCGATTTTCACGCTCGATAGTCAGCTGTTACAAGTTCAGGTCGAATGGTCCTAACAGTCGTTTCCATCAGTCCACATGGTCTTAACGTTCGTCTGCTCTTTTATGACCACCACCACAGAATACCGTGATGTCGCTGTTGTTCACAAGTCGTCGACTGTTCGACTGTCCGTTTCTTGGTCCGGTGAAACTGAAACAAAGATAAGAGAAACTGCTTATTCAAGGAAAAAATATGTCTTTACTCATGACTCGATCCTCGGGTTCCTCGGTTCGTCTGTCTAACGCTGAATCCTGATCATTGTGCGGCCGCTTTTAGCATCACAGCCTATACAGAACACTAACGCAAATAATTCTCCAAAAAACAAACTATCCAGCGTCAATTGCAGAATTTAAATTACTAGTATTAAAATACATGTTACCATGCATGGATAACAGGTTAAAATAACTCAAGAAGAAATCTGAACAGGACATATGCGGGGATGGATTTCTGTCCAGTACTGCACATACCTGAAAATTGTACGTCTGAAATATTCCAAATATCTTGAAATAGAGAAAGAAGTGCGACGTGGTAAAGGCAAGCGAATGGAAGGCTGAATTTCCTGAAATCAAAGATGAATGAAACACTGATCAGGTTATATTAGCGCGTTTGTTTTCACGCCGTTGAAAAGGACATGAAACTTATAGGCAAATGGACTCCGTCTTCGACAGACCTTGTATAGAAAAGGAAGAAAACGATTTTCTGAAGAACTGCCGCTTGATCTGTTTGTTGTTAACCATTCGTCGATAACATATTCATAGAGATGTTGACGAAGGGACTTAAGTCTTAAGAGACTTAAGGCTTGATTGTGCCCAACGAAGCTGGCAAGCAGGATTCGAAAGTGGATTCAGTACGTAGATCATTTTCAAGTGGTACAACGAGTAATTCGGACAAGCAAAGACTATCAGGTTTTTCTGGTTCTGGGGTTCGTCGACTTCGAGAACGCTTTCCACTCAGCCAATAATACCCGTTCCATATCTGTTGCTTTGAGGAGCGACGGTGTTAAAGAAACTTCTAGAAACGTGATCGTCGTGATTAACAGTAATGCTTTGGCTAGTATGAAGCTTCACGGAAATGCATAAGCGAGAAAGGGGCCTAGTAGGATTACGCAATATTAACTAAATCATTCGCAAGAACTCTAGGCGAAGCTTACAAGATACTCCAGTTCCCGTTGGAATATCAAGGCCTGAAGATAAATAGACGCCATTAAGCCATAGTTTGCGGACGTTATTCAGATTTTCACGAGATGTGCGCAAGAACTAGTGGAAAGAATCCTAGCGCTGCCTCAAGAATCGAACCGGAACTGGAAACTGACCTGAAGCTGACTCAAGTCATGTTTAAGAGATACGCGCGACCTCAAGACTTGTTGAAATCGACCGACTGTGGTTTTAACTGTTTCAAAACTTCCTCAGTTCGGTGCAGCTGGTTTCTACGACGAAGAACTACCTCTGCAAAGTCAGTAGAACATTAAAAACAGCATTGAGGACAATTTGATGAGATCGGAAACATTTCTGTCTGAGAAACTGCTCTTGTGCTTCAAATCGAAAGTCTGCGGTCCTGTTGTTTTCAGTACTAACATACGGATGCGAAGCATGTGCCATGAACATGAAACTTGTTCACAAACTGCAGACTCTGCAAGTAAATGAATACAAGGACGAGCAGATCAGAACAGACACGAGTGTCGTCGATGTAATCGAAAATCGAAAAAGCTGTGATTTCGATGAGCAGGACTGGTTGCAGGATGAACATGTGGTCGCTGGACTGAACAGGTATTGAATTACGTTTCAAGACACTGTAAACTGCCCGTGCGAAAACCTCCAGTTCGTTTACAAGACTTGCTCAACGGATCTGTCAGAGCAACATCGATAAACAACGCGAAAAACAGAATCTTGTGGCAGTGGATCTTGGAGAGTTTTTCATCCGTCATCCGGCAGTGAACTGACAAAGGCTAATGGCGATGATGATGATGAATCCAAGAATGATCATCTGCTTCAGCAGGCACTGAATCAAACTCCTCCCCGACTTGGATATGTGAAATGAACTAAAACAGGGATCGCTTTCAGTTCAGCAGTGATACGTAGGCTTTCCTTGATTAATTAATTTCATTATGTCCTTACTTATATCCATTTTGGTATCCTCAACTACACTGTTACTAAAACCAAGGCATGGTTTACAATGCTGAATTTTTTTCTTTTCCGTTCGCACTGTCTTGGCAGTGTTCTGTTGGCCTTGGATATTTTCCCGACATGTACACTGAATTACATGAATTGCAATTTATTTTATAAGCTGCGATTTTATCATATATGGAAAGTGGACGCTGAACCCTTAATATGATGATAGCACCGTGTAGTTTTCCTACGAAAAGGGTTACATAACGATTTCTTTCTAATCCTTATGACGGATATCGCATTATTCAGTGGTATAAATTCAGCCAGTCGTTACTCGTAATCTGGTTCCATGTTTTTGGAGGAGCCATGCGTAGGTCGAACAAAAACAGTCAGTTATTTTTTTGCCCTAGCGATTTTTCCATTTCATTTTCCGTTTTTCTCCGGCGCGGTTCCACCCTGTCTGAATCATCGGCTTCGAACTCCGTAGATGCCAGATTTGAATGGCGAAGAAGACAATTTATGTTGATCGCTAATTTTCTTGAGGAAGAAAGTCGGTTGAGAAACGGTTGGCAGTACTCTTACTTACCAGTACAGTAGCAGCCTATCCTTCTGACATGGTCATGCCACAAGGTGTCCGAGATACAGTCCTGCTGTCGGATGCGAACGCCTCACTTGTACTGCAGTTCGTCTTCACCACCTACATAGCCGCTTAAATTCTCAAGAGTGTGATGACGAGTAAAAATCATGATGTCGTTATTGTCGTTTGTTTTTGTTGTTGTTTTTTGTTGTAAACGACCTTGGCGGACGTCTCTCTAACCGTAATGACCATGATCGAAAACTTATCGATGAATCAAAGCGCAGTTGTGGACTTGCTTGGCTTCAACAACTGCAGCTGTTTCCATTCAGTAACACGAAGAAACTTGACAAGTGGGTGTCGAAAGAACTGAGTGAAGAAGTAGGAAATGGACACTCTATGAAAAGCGTCTCTTCCCATACGCTATTCACACTGAACCTTTTCTGCATTGACCAGCACCTTTTCAATGGTTTCGGTGATTTTCTTCGGTGTTCTCCAGTCAGTGTTTAAAAACTCTCTTT